AGATGATAGGATTTACTGCATCGATGTTGTGTCCATTAAACATTCGGAATGCAGTTGGCTCCTCATCTGCCACTTGTTGTGCTCGTTGCAAGATTTCTTCAGCTTCCTCTCTCGCAATGGCTTGTTGTTTTTTTACGAAGCCTCTGGTGGTGACACGTACTCGGGCATCATGAGTATTTCCATTCTCCAGCTTGCCAGTTGATTTCTGGATTATGCTGACGTAAGTATGACATCCCAATGATCATGTCTAATTTCCCGATGTCCGTGACTAGCAGACGGTGGGTGGAACCATGATCTCCGACTTTGAGGTATGCTTTTACATAGTCAGTTATTTCACCGTGTTTGTTTTGGGATCCGTCAGCATTGTACACTTTGTATGTAGTGTTTAGCTTGGAGGTTGCAATTCGATTGTTCTTTACAAATCGCTTGCTGATGTACATGAAATATGCTCCTGAGTCGACTAGAGCTTCGGCGCTCAATTTTTTGCCGTACACCCATAATGTAACTGGTAAATAGAATGATGATAAATTCGGAGATGAATTCTTTATTGTTACATTATCATCCTCTGCGTTGCGACGATCTACAGAGGTGTCTGAGCTGGGTGCTAAATGTATAGGTCTTATATAATGTTCTGGGAACTCTGACAAGCTGCCTACAGATTCCCTTTGAGAAAACCCTTCCGATCCTTCCTTGAAGAGCCCTCTCCCGCCTTCTTTGATGAACTGGATCCATTCGCCCTCAGGCGCCTGAGCCTTGAGAGGATCGCGGTGAAATCTTCGTCCGACTCGAATGCATCAGGCTCGCTTTCTGAGTGGATGCTGCGGTCGCTGATATGCGCAGCTGTCTCCTTACCCTTCCCCTTAGTCTTAGAGGAAGAGCTCTTCTTCTTCGGCTTCTTTTCTTCTTCGATATCAGAGCTTTTGCTCTCTGCATCTGATGAAGCAGAATCAGATACTACCTGTCACATCTTGGACGACTTGGATTTATTCCTGGTGTCGTCCTTCTTCTTCCCGTCCTTCTTTTTTGCTGCTGTCTCTTTCTCCTTCTCAATCTGCCTCTTGACATGGTCCAACTTGAAACAATCGGTGCAATACTTGCCGAAGCATTTTGACGATTTGAAGAATGTCGGCTTGTTCTTCTTGCAGTTGGCGCAGACCAACTTGTCGTCTTGCACGCTTCGCGCTTTACCTGATTTACTCTTTCCTTTCTTCCCGACTGCATCAACCTTCATAGCGTTTGAGTCCTTGGTTTCGGCCTTGGCATGGTGGCCTTCTCGTTGTAGTGATGTAAATATCCGGAGTGTGAATGTAAGGAACTCGGTCCACTTCTTGGGCCAGTTATCCTTAGTGGTATCCGCTAGCATGAGCAGCCACATTTTCTCCGGAATATGTTTCTTGATTTTTTCGATCAAGTCTTGATCCGAGAAGCCTGTACCGGTTGCCTTTGGACGGAAGTCTTCTGCGAACTTTCGGAAGTCTCGATGATCCTTCTTGATGAAGGCTTCTAGCTCCGTTCGCTTTTTGTCATCCTTGTCTAATGATTCATATGCCGTGCGAAGTTCAGCGACGAACTCCGCCCAAGTTTCTGGTGCCTTGTTGTTTTCGTTTATTTCGGTAATCCAATGTCGCATGTATTCACGTGCTCCTCCTTTCAGGAGCAAGAGGGTAGACATAATTTTGGACTCGTCTTTTGTATGTCCAGTATATTTCAACCAGAGCATGACTTGTTCGAGCCAATCATCGAGATTGACTCCATCCTTATTGCCACCATATTTTCCTGGTTGGTCAATTTTTACGCCTTTACCCTTACGACCAAACGATGGCTCCTCGTCGTCGTCCGTGTCGTCGACATTATTACTGCCTTGCCCTGCTTTCCGTTCCTGCGTAGATGCCCATGCGCGAAGTTGATCATGTGATTTCTTCAAGTCTTCCATCCTGGTTTGGAGATCCTTGACCTCATCGTCAAATGCCACAAACGCTTCGTTAGTGGTCTTGTTTTCCTCAAGTAAAGCTGACGAGGTTTTCTCCAAGTCTGCGATTCGAGACTCGGATTGTTGATGATGTTGGTCTAAGAAGACCGTCCGATTGTGAAACTCCGTGGTGTTACGTTCCATTGTATGCGCTTGGCGCTGGATAAGATTTTTGTAATGCGCCACCATTTGTTGACGCATTTCTTCCACCACATTTGTGACGAGATCGACTACCCAATTCTTCACATTTTCGGGTATGTTCACATTTGGGGGCGTCGTGTCGGCAAGGGCTTGACAAATGATAGGATTCGGGGGTTGCAAAACAATATTAAGACGTGCGGGAAGCTCCGGAGATGGAGCATGAGAGAAGCTTGGATCATTTGGAGTGGGAGTCGTCATCTTACAATTCTTCCTCTATCTCTCGAAGATGTTCTTCAAACTCGACGATATGTCTGTTTGCGATAGTGGCCTGTCGGGCAATTACTCGTCCTGAGCGTTGGTTTCGCAGTAACCAAAGGTCTTGATGGATGACCTTGACGAAGGGTTGCCACAAAAACCTGATTTTGTCTCTGACTGCGGGCCACTGGTGGTTATGATGAATTTTGCAAATATGCTCGACTTCTTCGAGCCAATCGACGAAGCTATTGTAAGCTTTGGTGAGACGGTCTTCGGGTTCTTCGGATCCAATAGGAATATAGCAGATATGAACTGCGACATTCCTCCAATCAAATTCTGGATAGATTTGGAGGGCGTAGATGTGATATACGTCGTGGTAATCGATGTCGAACGTGTCCTCGTAGGTAGCAAACACTTCACCTGCTCTGTCTCGAAGAACACGTGGAATTGAATCCCAAAGATAATCGAAGGTGTGACCGATTGGATATAACTGCTCGAAGTTATCAAGATTGTTCAAATCGCCAGATGAAGACATATACAAAATGAATATTCGTATCTACAGCAAAGGTCGCCCTGTGACCTGTATTCCTAGACGATACTTCTGGATAATATCTCTGATTATCCAGCGAGCTTCTCCGCCCTGATGCTTCCTTTCCTGGACGTAGTTGCAGAAGTCGCGAACCACGTGTTGGTGAACGAAGGAAAGCTTGAATTCCGCTATGTCGTTGCGGAGGGATTCGAGCTTGAGTATGAGATGCTCGAGGTCGAAGATGTCGTGGTCGTCAAGCTGATGATGATATCGTTTGGTGAGTAGAATACGAATCTGTCGAAGAGTGCCTTTGACGCGCTGAGTCGAGATGATTGAAACAGCGAGAGGATAGATGAAATGAGACCCAGTAGCGGTCTCGACGTATGTCCCTTGATTGAGATCTGGACCAGATGGTCCTGCAGGTAGTCTCGGTCACCTGACTGAGGGAGTCTGGATAATAGAAACTGAACTGGTGCTGCGAGGGGGCCGACCTCCCATAGAGATGTGTCCTGGCCTTGGCAGGGGTCTTATGGGCCGCTGCTCATAGAACTCTTCTGGAGTTCTTGCTCGAGGATGACGGATGACACCGTCGATGCTGCGCAATGCCTTGGTGCGGCTTACGCTGGTAGAGTCAGTGACTGACGAAACGTCAGGTGAAGATATGACACCGCTAACATGCGGGTGGACGTGCGAAGACGCAACACTGCGGCGAGTACGCTGGGCAGGCACTCGAGGCAGGTAAGATAAGCAGACTTATTCTTCTATCACAAACTTAGGACGCAGAGCACTGACTAAGCCTATGACCTTATGATCAAATACTTACTGACTGTTGTCGACGTAAGGATGGACACAAAGATGATCAAGGTAAAGCAGTGCCTTGCAAGTGAGCACTGGTAACACTGTATGGAAAGGCGTAGCAGAGATGAGAATAAGTCTGGGGGACTTATGCATCTCAGAGCTCTGGCTTATATACATGAGCGGAGGGACCCTTGATACCCTGATACCCCAGAACTGCTAGCTAATGGACATTGTCTGATTGGTTACCACTACCTGTCAGACTACGTGTGTCATGCATGCTGAACCTCCGAACTACTTAGTAAGACCATGGGAATGGTATTGCCTGTAATGGCTACATCTCCGGTGGCGTGGTATCTATCTACCTCGTGCATGTGAACTAATATCCCCTTAAGGACATATCTCCGGTGTCGTGTATCCCCTTCGTTGGATTCTTCCGGAGTCCGACCGTTGCTTCTAGGTGAGATGATATTACTGTATAAGTTAGGCTTACCTAATACCAGCGCTACTTGTCACATGTGTGGATATCACGTGATGTGTCACGTGACTAGACCTGGACCTTCGGGGCGTCTAGGACTGTTAGTACTTCGCGTACCGGTTCGTTCCTTTCTGAACAGCCTAGCGCTGATGTCAAATGATGTCTTGGTCACGTGCAGAGGTGAAAATGTGAAAATCTGTGACAAAAGCACAGAAGGCCTTTTGTCACAGATTTTCATCACAAAGTCCGCACGTGACTTTTCTCACACCACAGATCACGTGCTTCACCAACATCTCACGCCACTCAGCCACAGATGCAACACGTAGAGATCAGATGATAGTCCACATCACATGTTATGGTCCAGACCCGTGGATGATACAGTCGGATCTGTCTATTTCAGGATACAATAGAGGCACTCATTTGGGAACAAAGGGAACAAGGACTATTGTTATGCATCGGCCTTCCACTTCCTATTAGTTTAGCCAGAAGCCCAGATAGGCACAATGTTCACACCAGAGAACAAAGGGAAACCAAGATAGGCATGATGTGCACACATATTACTGCAGCAACCATCGATCTTCCCACTCATTGTTCTACTTCCGGACATCCTATTGTTTCATGTACAGCCATTAGCTTATACCCGTAGATAGGTAGCTTAGGTAAGATAGCCTGCTGTACGTGTATATAAGACCAGCCATGTAGAGGACGAAACTTCAGATTGTTTCTCCTCGTCTACTACCTGTAGCACTCACTGAGCTCACAAGCTCCTTCATATATCTCTATCCCTTGCCCGCATCCGCCACATTGACTAGTAAGTCAACAGGCTCTTGCACCACTTAAGGGATCAGGGGAATACTTTGGGATCAGGGGATCAGGGCGGCACGTTTCACGTGACTGTCCCTTTTTAGTCTTTTTGATCTCTTGTCCGGTGTTACCGTGACATTAGAAACAATCTGATTTTCTGTGCCCCTGCTTAATGTTTAACACAAGTGGCCACGTATTTTCAGCACAAGCAGTTTCAGCTGTAGCGCGTGGCTTTTTTGACATACATTCCAACCTGACTTCTACCAGGCATGAGCCTCAGCAAGACACTGAGCAGCCCAAGGCAGCAAAGCGCAAGGCCACCAAGGCAGAAGATCCTTACACCAGCTACAAACACCTTGAGACCAACAAGGAGCGAGGAAGACTTCTCACTCTAGCATCCTTAGGTGCATCCTCTACAGACAGACAGCGTGCAACGGCCAGGGTAGTTGACACTACGCATATCAGAGTCCAAGGCATCATCTGCCGACCTCGCAGTCACACCTCCTGCTCGAATGCTACAAGCCCAGAAAAGGACGCCTCACTACAGGCGGTCGAAGGCCAAGACCACCTCCAGAGATCATCACCTCCAACGCTGTTCCCCCCATCATTGTTGCTCCACAGCCAGTGCGACCCCTTCCCAACTTTGTTAAAGTCAACACACACGCACGACCCATTCACCCTCTTCCGTCCAAAGTCAGGCCCACCCTCCACATTGAAACACTCAAGAAGCAGGTCTCAGCTACCCGCTTCAGACTACAACCAATATTAGGAGCATTCTGCGAGAGAATTGAGCAGGACAAACGAAAGAAGGTACAACTCCTCGCATCGGAGTTAGACAAAGTCTGCGCAGACCTTTACATGGGGACTCGCGAATACACCTTCGTCGACACACAGGTCATCAACACGTGCTGCCTAAAAATAGGCAAGATCAACTTCAAGGAGATAGGGAAGCAGCAGAGGTTAGACGAGATCGTCAGGGAGATTGGGAAAGTCAAGGACAAGCAGTACCTAGGCTTTATTTTCAATTAGTTTACATACATCTATATCACAATGGAAGGAGCTGATCGTGCGTATGCATCCACGTTCGGGCAAAGAATGGATGACATTCTGCATACAAATGTCGAGACAGCACATGACGGAAGCACCCCACGTGCCTCGCAGCACAATTCACCAGAACCTGCGCTAGGACCACAGGATTCTGCATCGCAAGTTGGAGGACCAGCGTCCCCAACCCCATCACTCTTGCCCGCCTATGTTCCCCCCATCTGAGAATTCGATGGACACCAGTTTGAGCATCTAGAAGATGCGCTCAGACAGTCCGCTCCCGGAGAAGTCCCGGACCACATCCGCGAATGGGTTATTGTCGCAATGAAGCTCATGGTCAGTACCGAAGTTGCCAAGGTCTACAATGTGCTCAGAAACAAGATGTACGAGCACAAGAAAGCCTTCGAGTCGCTGATCCAAAACAACAAGAGCAAACACCGACTCAAAGAGGGAATGCTTCAGACGGAGATCGGGAAGCTCAAGGATAGGATCCTCACGCAAGATGTGCATATGACAGTTTTGAACAACGAGCCCTCGGGAATCCAGGTGGCAATGCTCGATACAGGCAAAGAAATGATGGAAATTAAGGCAGCTAACGTCAAGCTGCGACATGAGCTAGCTTCGCTCAAAGCAAGCAGCGCCACTGTAATGCAAGGTCAAACGTCCGGCACGGTCCAATCGCACAAACCCCACATCAAAATTGCTGAGCCTCCACACTACTCGGGCAAAGGAAGTCTGGAGGATTGGCTCTAACAACTCAGTATATGGATGTGGTGGAATGAGATCAACGATGACGAGCACAAGATCACCACGGCCCTGCTGCATTTGGAAGGTGGCGTGTTCACATACATGTTCAAATATGCGACCAGAGCAGCAGCACAGCAGGCACTTGGCACATGGGAAGACTTCATCAACATTCTCAAAGTGAACTACAGGACCCTCGACCCGAACAAGGATGCGCAGCAGCATTTGAAGGATATCTGCAGCAAGACGTATCCCATTATGGTATCCTTCGCAGAACAGTTCCACCAATGGGCCACTAAGACCAACTTAGGGCACACTGCACTCATCGGTTACATCGCTGAACACTGAAGCAAGGATGTACACCAGGCAATGGTCACATGAGACAGTCTAGGAATTTCCGACCCCATCACATGGCCAGAATATCTCGACCTATGTCTTCAATTAGAGTCCAAGTTCAGAGCTGACAAGGCAGGACAGCATGGAACAATAGCAACATCATCATCGGCACCACGGGCCCCAAAAGACCCCAACACAATGGTTGTGGATAGAGTATCCACCCTCACCAAGGAGCAAGAAGGATGGCTGGAGAAGAAGCTGTGTGTACGATGTGGGAAACACCCCTTCGTTTTTAAACAGCGATGCCCAGACCCCAAGTACAAAGGCAAATTCGAAATGCCAAAGCGGGGTCAAGCAACCAGGGCAATATCGACAATGGCACCATCCACTGGCTCCGACGACAGCAAGGTGAGGGAAGAAGCAGTCCGTGCTTTCATCGCCAGCTACGACATGAAGGGAAATGAAAAGGAGGCGGAACCGGAACCAGCTGTCGAAGCAGCTAGGATCACGGAGGTAGAAGATGATGAGGATTTTTTTCGGCGGGTTCTCTGAGGTCTGGCCAGAGTTCCCATAGACAATGTAATAGTATTTACTCGCTCTCGCATGTACCAGTATCAAGTTTTTTATACATCGCATCTACTGGTTCGTCAAAACACGTGATTGATTTACCTGTTCACCTCAAACAGGGAGTAAGGGAAGTCCAGACTGAGGCGCTCCTCGATTCAGGAGCATATTCTTGCTACATCAACCCACGGCTGGTTGATCAGTTGAATCTTGCTACGATCCCACTTGAGAAGGAGATCAGGGTTTACAACGCAGATGCATCTCACAACAAGGGTGGAACAATTAAGAAAAGGGTTCTTCTAAGTATAACCATCAGAAACCACACAAGCAGGCAAAGCCTTTTGGTCACCGATATAGGACATAAAGACGTTATACTAGGCATGAGTTTCCTCAAGGAGCATAATCCCGAAGTGGATTGGGGAAAACTCATGGTCGATTTCACCCGGTGCCCACAAAGATGCACACCCTCACAGGTAGCAATCCAGGAGGAGGACCTGGAAGGCACAAACATCCCCCACATCGAAGACCTGATGGAGTTCGTCGGTTCCCAGGAGTTAGGTGACAACTGGAACGACATGGACAGCTTCATTAGATGGGTGTCATTATCAGAAGACCCTGATGCACAAGCTGTAGCATCGCTCATTATGGGCCTTGACACCAAGAGGAATCAGGATAGAGCACCGCAAAAAGGAGAACAGGACAAAGACTACTGGTCAGCCTATGTCCCCATACACTTCCACGAGTATGGCAATGTGTTCTCCAAGAAGCAGTCGGGACGAATGCCCACAAGAAAGCCCTACAATCATCCAATCGAACTTGTTCCAGAGGCATCGTTACCATGCCCGGCAAAGTTATATCCTATGAACCTACAGGAAAGAAATTCGCTCGACATGTGGATAGACCAAGAGTTGGCCAAAGATTACATCAAGAGATCAACGAGTCCAACCGCAGCACCCGTCTTCTTCGTCAAAAAGAAAGACGGATCCCTGAGGCTCGTACGAGACTACAGGAACCTCAATGCAGTCACAAAGAAGAACAAGTTCCCAATCCCACGCATTTCGGACCTCATCGATAGACTCTCACATGCTAGTATATTTACGAAGCTTGATCTGAGATGGGGGTTCAACAACATAAGGATTAGGGAGGGAGACGAAGAGAAAGCCACCTTCATCACACATCGTGGCCTCTTTGAACCCACCGTAATGTACTTCGGCTTCTGCAATGCTCCTAGCACCTTCCAAACAATGATGAACACAGTCCTCGAAGACTTAATTCGCACTGGAAAGGTGGTAGTCTACTTAGACGATATCCTCATATTTACGGACGATCTCGATGAACACCGACGACTAGTGAAAGCAGTTCTACAGCGCCTCTGGGACAACGACTTATATGCCAAACCAGAGAAATGCTTCTTTGAACAGTCCTCAATCGAGTATCTTGATATGATCATCAGCAAGAACTCAGTACAGATGGACCCTGCTAAAGTTGAAGGTGTACTTGGCTGGCCCGCACCGACAAAGGTCAAACAAGTACAGGCCTTTTTAGGATTCGTGAATTTCTACAGGCGATTTATAAAGGACTTTGCGAAACTCGCACGACCTTTAACACTTCTCACCTGTAAGGACGTGCCCTGGCAATGGAAGGAAGAGCAAGACCAAGCCTTCAGTGCACTTAAAACGGCATTCACTTCAGCCCCAATCCTGCAACTCCCCAATGACACTGCACCATACCGTCTAGAGACAGACTCTTCAGATTATGCAACTGGTGCAGTACTCGAACAACTGGGAGAGGACAAGCTATGGCATCCAGTCGCATACTACTCTAAGTCACTCAACGAACATGAGAGGAACTATGAGATTTATGACAAAGAGATGCTTGCTATCATTCGGGCACTAGAAGAATACCGGCACTATTTAGAAGAACACTCAGAACCCATTGAGATTTGGTCAGACCATCTCAACCTTACATACTTCCGTCAGCCACAAAAATTATCCCGGCACCAAGCACGCTGGTCATTATTCCTCACAAGATTTAATTTCATCCTTAGTCACTGTCCTGGAAAGACAATGCTACGTGCCGATCCTCTGTCCAGGAGGCCAGACCATGAGAGGGGGGTAGACAGCGACAATTTGAACCAAATGCTGTTAAAACCTGAATTTTTTGCTATCAATGCGATTCGACCCACTCACGCATCTGAAGTTAATGATGCTCAACTACTGGAAAGGATCAAGAAGGCACTCACAGAGGACACGATGACCAAGGATTATCGTGCGCTTTTGACTACAGGACAGTGCAAATTTGGGAAAAACCTCGCAGAATGGAACTTTGAGCATGGACTACTGCTCCATCGCGGAAAGGTTTATGTCCCCAAGGATCAACAGCTACGCCTTGACCTAATAAAACTCCATCATGACACCTTACCAGCTGGACACCCCGGCAGGTTCAAGACGTTGGAGCTTATCACTCGGAACTATTGGTGGCCAGGAATGTCCGTAATGGTTAAACAATACGTACAAGGTTGTGACAGTTGCCAATGTAACAAGTACTCAAGAGAAAAACCATACAGACTACTACAACCAAACGAGGTACCAGGAGGACCATGGGAGATCATCACAGTGGATCTCATCACACAACTTCCTCCAGCCATGGACTTTAGGGGAGAAAAGAAAACGGCAATACTTGTCGTCGTGGACAGACTCACGAAACGAGCGCACTTCTATGCGACGGACGATACAGTCACCTCATCGCAAGTCGATAACGTATTCTATAACGAAGTCTTCAAACTCCATGGATTGCCGCACCAGATTATCTCAGACAGAGGTACTCAATTTGCGAGCAAACTATTCTAGGAGTTCTGCCAGAAGCTCGGTATAAAGTCAACAATGTCCACTGCATATCACCCCCAGACAGACGGCCAGACAGAAAGGGTTAACCAGGTGTTGGAACAGTACCTACGAATGTACTGTAATCACAGACAGAACGATTGGGTCTATTACCTGCCAACAGCAGAATTTTCATACAACAACCAGACCCATGAATCCACCGCACTTTCCCCATTCTTTGTCGAATATGGTCGACATCCAAAAATGGCACCAGACGTACACAAATCAATATGTCATCCCTCATTGGAACATCTATTTGCTCACTGATCCAAGGCACAAGAACAGGCAAAGGCAGCATTGGAAGTTTCAGCTTCACGGATGAAATGGTACTTTGATGAGAAAAAGGGAGAAGTCCCATTCAAAGTCAGAGACCTAGTACTACTCAAGGGAAAGGATCTCAGAGTAAAAGTCAAGTCCGCGAAGTTAGGCACACAAAACTTCGGACCTTACAAAGTACTTCAGAAGCTAGGCCCAGTCACATTCAAACTGGAACTGCCTAAGCAAATGAAGGTCCACCCGGTCTTCCATGCCAGCAAGTTGATCATGTATCATCAAGACACGGTCGCACACCATGAGCCCCCAAAGCCCCCAGCTATAGAAATTGAAGGAGAACCAGAATTTGAAGTAGAAGAAATACTAGACTCGAAGGTAGTAAGGGGAAGGGTCCAATACCTCGTCAAATGGAAAGGCTATGACCATTCCGACGACACATGGGAACCCCAAACAAATCTTACCAACGCTGATGAGCTTCTTCAAGAATTCCACCAGCAACACCCAGATGCAGCCAAAGCACCAATTAGGGTTGTCACCTTTGGTGGAAAACGCTTCGAACTATCCTCATACGAAGTTGCACCGATATCCACTCATAGAATCAACATGTCCGACCACCCGGATGAGTTCTTCCTATATCATAAGATAACAGATCTCGCCAAATCACCGAAAAAATCCTCAAATGAAGCAGCAGGATGGGATATTTATGCAGCAGAAACACATGAAATTCCCCCGCATTCACGAGCTGTGGTAGGAACGGGAGTCGCAATTGACCCTCCCAAACACACCTATACACGAATAGCTCCACGCAGTGGACTGGCTGCATGAGGAATTGACGTGGGTGCAGGAGTCGTCGATCCAGATTACACGGGAGAACTCAAGGTCGTACTAATCAATACAACAGATTTCGTATTTTCGGTCAAGCCGGGAGATAGAATAGCCCAAATAATCTTCGAGTATTATGCCGAAGGGCTTCCCTCCTGAAGCTACCAGCCGTTGCGAGCAACTCGAAGGAAAAACAAAGGTTTTGGCTCCTCGGGACAATGAGCCTTGAGAGGGGGGGTAGTGTCACAGATTTTTGCCACAAAGTCCGCACGTGACTTTTCTCACGCCACAGATCACGTGCTTCACCAACATCTCACGCCACTCAGCCACAGACGTGACGCGTAGAGATCAGATGATAGTCCACATCACATGTTATGGTCCAGACCCACGGATGATATGGTCAGATCTGTCTATTTCAGGATACAATAGAGGCACCCGTTTGGGAACAAAGGGAACAAGGACTATTGTTATGCATCAGCCTTCCGCTTCCTATTAGTTTAGCCAGAAGCCCAGATAGGCACGATGTTCACATCAGAGAACAAAGGGAAACCAAGATAGGCACGATGTGCACACGCATTACTGCAGCAACCATTGATCTTCCCACTCATTGTTCTACTTCCGGACATCCTATTGTTTCATGTACGGCCATTAGCTTATACCTGTAGATAGGTAGCTTAGGTAAGATAGCCTGCTGTACGTGTATATAAGACCAGCCATGTAGAGGACGAAACTTCAGATTGTTTCTCCTCGTCTACTACCTGTAGCACTCACTGAGCTCACAAGCTCCTTCATATATCTCTATCCCTTGCCCGCATCCACCACATCGACTAGTAAGTCAACAGGCTCTTGCGCCACTTAAGGGATCAGGGGGATACTTTGGGATCAGGGGGATCAGGGCAACACGTTCCACGTGACTGTCCCTTTTTAGTCTTTTTGATCTCTTGTTCGGTGTTACCGTGACACCTTTACTCGCTGCAAGGCATCGAAAGAAAAGGATGGACTTCACTTTGGCTCACCAATATTGGACTGTGGAGGACTGGAGAAGGGTGGTATGATCAGATGAGACAAAGATTAACAGGATGGAGTCAGATGGAAGGAAATGGGTGTGGAAGAAGCCAGGGGAGAGCCTCAGTGATAGGTTGGTGGAAGGGACCCAGAAGTTTGGAGGTGGGTCCTTGATGATGTGGGGCTGTATGGGCTGGGATGGTGTGAGGTATGCCTGCAAGATTGATGGCAGGATGGATGCAGACCTTTATGTCAGCATTCTGGAGGGTGAGCTGCAGAATAGCCTGGAGGATTGGGGTAAAACTGTGGAGGATGTGGTGTTTCAGCAAGACAATGACCCCAAGCACACCAGCAAGAAGGCCAAGGATTGGTTCAAAGACCATGATTTCAACACCATGCTATGGCCCTCTCAATCCCCAGATCTCAATCCCCAGATCTCAATTCCATAGAGAATTTGTGGGATCACCTCAAAAAGAAGCTTGCAGAGTATCAGGAGCCACCAAAGGGAATTACTGAGTTGTGGGAAAGGGTGGAGAAGGAATGGGAGGCTATTGGGAAGGAAGTGTGTCAGAATCTGATTGAAAGTATGCCAAGGAGGGTGCATGCAGTGGTGAAGGCAAAGGGAGGCTATACCAAGTACTGAAAGTACAAGTTTTGGAGAACCTGGATATGTGCCACAAAATTGTTGATACGAGTGACCCTCAAAGATAAGTAAATATCTTGGGATTGAAATATGGTAAAAATATGATTAGGACTGCATTATAAAGCCATGATGATATGCTTTCAAATGAGTTCTTATACAATGTAGTTGACCCATTGGTTGAGGAGATATTCACTATACAAGTCGAAGTGAGCAATCTTATCAACAGTTTTGTGGGTCACTGTATATAAAGCAATAAGTACATGCTAACAGCGAGAAGCATTGCAAATCAATGTCGAAATCATTACAGACTACTCACCATACACTGCCGCGGCCCGCGAGGAGGTACGTAGAAAACGCCATCGAGCGACGTGAGCGGATAGAAAGTAAGAAAGCTCAACAGGGGCAGCGCGATGATGAGGAGGGGCAAATGTTACATAAACTACTTCCTAAAAGGTGTCAAACTGCAGCGATGATTATTATGTAAGCCATTCATGTCCACATTCTGTCAATAGCCAAATTACTTTGTTATTTGGAACACGTCCACATTCTGTCAATAGCCAAATTACTTTATGTAAGCTGTTCGTGTCCACATTCTGTCAACAGCCAAATTACTTTGTTATTTGGAATATTGAACACTCCCCGAGGGATATAATGAGAAATATACGGATGCCACCTGAGGCAGAATGAGCTTGTATAGGCAAAGTTCGTGTTTAAACAGAGGATCAATGACCCGTTGACCTACAAATTCAACTCATTCTATTAAGACGCGGCGCTTAGAGAAGTGCGTTGATGGGAAAATAGCATCAACCAGTGGCTGGGCACTTGATCAATATCAGACGGCAGCATCACGATAACCTGTTGCCAGTGAGTCATGACAATCGGAGAGCTAGTGAGATTTATGTATGTGCAGAGATATCTGAAATAGGGTGGTTCTTCATCATCATTATGAAACACCCTATTTCGGATAGCTCTGCGCACATGGTCCTCGATTCTCAAGCATGCAAGAAATTCAGTATCTCTCTCTTTCATGCATCCTGCAATCTTGGTGCAACTAGCACACATTCTTGTATTGGGTGGTCTGGAAGCATCACAGTTCATCCGCCAGTGACGGTGTCATCGACACCTTCCTCATGCTCGCTGTCTATCTTGAGGATCAAGCTGCATTGGATGTCAAGTCTGCATGCTTGGACACCACGAATTAGACATTGTTCGAGCGATTGTGTCGGTCACGCATTTTGGTAACCTCAATAGATCTGGCAGAGTCCAGACAAATCGCTTCTTGACCTGCTGTCTATAGATTCTGTCCACGTCAAAGAATCCGAGTCCTCACAAGATGGATTCAATTTCACTGTGAGGTTCTCCAAGCCGGGCTCCCAAGCTCATCTGAATGTCATGCGATGCATCACTTTGGAGTTACACAAGGTATCTACATCATTTCCATTTCATCTTTATGGTTCAGCTAATGACTGGCTCCTTTACCGCAGGATGTGTTTGGCAGCTGCAGTTTATCTCGCTGTGCTCTGACACTATCGAGGAATATGAATAAGATGACCATTGACAACTGGAAGGATGGCTGGTGGATCGTGAAGGTATCGCTGCTAGGAACTAGCCCTTATGTACCATTCGAGTTGCAGCTGGTCTTCCTACATGGCCCTTCAGAGTCCTCTCTGCCAGTCACGCTGTCTCCCCTGAGAGGACTGTGGCTCGGTCTCTGAAACCTCCTGTTGTGAATCGTAACTCATGTCCCTTCACAAGAATCACTCCAAAGACATGAACTATGTTCTCCCAGATAACAATTAACACTTATTTGTGTTGGAATCTGGGCACGGAGCGCAGATGCGAGAGGCCCCGATGCAACCTGCGCCACCGACGTGGGAGAGTAGTAGCGTGCGTGTATATAATAGGGCACAGCTACAATGGGACGGGCCATCGGTTTGGCCCCATGGAGCCATCTTCTAAAGAGCGGACGACTCCCGAACTCCTGGCCGTGCAGTGGGCTGGCTGGGAAAGTCAACACAAACTGATCACCATTGACCAAGAGGCACTCACCGCAATCGACGAGAACCACCACTACGAGATTCCTGCTGGGGACCATGATGCTGACTGGTAAGTGATCCAGTTGGCAGGTTAAGGGCTGGGAGCTGGGGCAGGTCGCCGAGGTGTGAAGGCTGCAGGGCAGCTGAGGGACAGGTGCGATCAGGCAGAGGCGGGATCAGGAGGTCGAGGGCAGGAGGGTGAGGGCCAGAGGGTTGACCATGGGGCACCGCTGCAGTGATACAAGACACCAGGTGCAGGAGGTGGGCACTGCACGAGGCGGGCCTACCAGCGAGGTGAGGGTGGAGCAGGGCGTCAAAGGGCAGGCTGAGTGGATGCCGAGTGAGACAGGCCGGCAGTCCAATGAAGCGACACAGCCACAGCATGCGGAGCACTGAAGAAAAGCCGAGCGAGGCGCTTGCACGGAGCGCACATGGAACGGAGACTGAGACTCGAATCCAAGGGGCGTCGGGACTGGCGTGCAGACCGAGCAAGCGACGAGTGCATGGGTGTGCTATAGGAAGTCACCGAAAATGGGCACGTATGGGATGCATATGGTACGGAGACCGGGACCCAAGATCAGGGGGCGCCAGGACTGGCGTACGGACTGAGGCAGGCAGGGAAGCACATGGAATGGAGACCGGCATCCCTGGGGACAGGGAGTGCGGTACAGGTGTGTGGCCCACAATAGGATTGACGCAGCAGTGGCTAGGTCGAGGGGGCATGTTGGAATCTGGGCACGGAGCGCAGATGCGAGAGGCCCTGGTGCGACCTGCGCCACTGGCGTGGGAGAGTAGTAGCGCGCGTGTATATAATAGGGTGCAGCTACAATGGGACGGGCCATCAGTTTGGCCCCGTGGAGCCATCTTCTAGAGAGCAGGCGACTCCCGAACTCCTGGCCACGCAGCGGGCTGGCTGGGAAAGTCAACAATTTGTCCTGCAAAGAACATAAGGCATTATGTTTCTTGCAGAGCAAATAAGTGTTAATTGGATCGAGATGTGGTTTGCATGACAGCATTGGAACATTTGATACTCCTGACAAGCCATTGCTGAGGTTTGTGTTGAAGCAGAGGATCAAAGACCCGTTGACTTAAGCTTATGAACGCCACTTGTTCGATTGAGACATGGCTGAAAATGCCATCAACCGGCTTGATCATGGATGGCTGCAATAAATGGGCGCTTGTAAGATCATACAAAGTGACGTTGGGCGTGATCCAACGCCGGGGAGGAGTGACTGCCGAAGCGTGACAAAGGCCGCAAATCGGCTCAAACGGTGCCCGAGACGCCGGAAGGTTTGCGCCGCGCGAGTGCTTGTGTGACCTCGGAGGCGCCATGCGAATCAAATGTTCCTGCGTCTTCGACGGATGAAATTTGAAATCTAATAGCCATCCTTTCGGACCTGGCTCTATGTATGTTTTCGCGTCTGATTGCTTCTGTAGCGCCCTTCTATCAACGATTTGCGACCAAACAGCATCGCCACGAGAACGCGCCCTTTTAACAACAGCTTAGACCGAATGCATCGGCTTGTATCGGTTCGTAGACTATGATCGAGGGAATCTGATTCGTGTATGTTACTGATGATGAGAAGACATCAAGATGTGGCTCGCAGCCACCCATCGGCTTTATTGCGCAATGATGAAATCAAAAATGCAACGACACGAAATCCAGACCATATGAAAACAAATCGAAGGTGAAGCATCTGGGGCGCATGCACAAGGGGCATATTCTGCAAGTGGCCGCATGGTGAATGGATCAATTTCAGGTGCTGTGGCCACCAGACAAAGCAGCAGACGTTTACTGGGTGAAGGACCGGACCTACTCGGATGAACCGTGCCTGTTTGTGGCATACCTATTGTGTGGCTATCGGCCATTCTTGTTGGATATTCGCACCGTATGTGGCCAACACAGCCGCTAGACTGTCGATGTCCTCGTTTCCAATGACACTTTGATCGGCAATGTCCTCCTCACCCCTCAAAAAGCGCCGGACAGGCCGATGCCACGGATATGAGAGAAATTGTATAGGATTGCAAAAGGATATCAGCTCCTCTCGGACATGGACCGCCACCGTTCAATAATGTTCAATCGCCTTGTCAACGGCTGGCCCGAGCGCACCGCCCGCCATGTAATGTTTCAAGCGGAATAAAATGGGCCACTGGCCATTTGCAAGCGCGCACGTGTAGGAGTCAACGATCTGGCCAGGTACATGGCGCAGTGGCACAGTGCAGTTGCAGGATAAAAGCCCACATTCGGTGCGCCAAAATCATTTCAACGTTCCTGCCACTTTCCTTCCGCCCCCATTGTCACTGCTATCTTCAACATGTCTCCGACGGACAGACCTCAGGTTAACGTGGGCAGCGCTCCCCCTGCTTATGATTATCTGCACCTGAGTGCCACGGAGAAACCATTGACGGAGAAGAACAGCGAATATCCGGCGGTGGACAAGCTGCTCAGAGTTGTTGCCGAGCTACTGGACTCTGAACCCCCCGAACCCATTGAACTCGCTTCGTCTAAATCTTTTGAGCTCAAGTCGCTCCGCAAATCAGACCGTAGGCCTTTAAGATCAAACTTTGAAGGGACTGCCAGCTGGCGGACATCCATGAAGGACAAGCTTGAACAAGGAGTTACCGATATCCTCGAGGAGATCATGAAACACCTTATCCCGGATAGCTCTATTCATTCGGTCCTCGGCAAGTGTTCTCAAGCATTAGAGAAATTCGATTCGTCTCTTTCGCGCCTTCTGCAGTCTCGGTGCATCCGGCACACATTCTTGTATTGGGTGGTCTGGAAGCATCACAACTCATCCGCAAACGACAGCGTCATCGACACCTTCCTCGCGCTCGCTGCTCCCCTCGAAGACCAGACTGCGCTGGATGTCAAGGCCGCGTGTTTGCACACCGCGAATCACACCTTATTCGACCGGTTGCGTCGGTCACGCATTATAGCAACCTCAACGGATCCAGACGAATCGCTTCTTGGCTTGCTGTCTGCAGATTCCATTCATTTCAAGGAAGGAACCTTGCAAGACGCATTCGATTTCACTGTGAGGCTCTCCATGCCGGATTTCCAGGCTCGGCTAAAGGCCATGCGATGCATTAGTCTGGAGTTAATCGCGCGAGGTATTCACATCATTTCCATTCCGTCTCGTTCATTCGACTAATGGTTGGCCTCCCTACCTCAGGACGTCTCTGGCAGCTGCAGTTCATTACGCTGAACTATCGCACTATCAAGACATATGGATGAGATGACGGCTGGAGGGACGGCTGGTGGATCGTGAAGGTATCGACGGGCGGAACTAGCCCTTATGTACGATTCGAGTCGCAGCTGGTCTTCCTACATGGTCGTTCAGAGTCCTCTCTGCCGGTCACGATGTCTACACCAGAGGACTGTGGCTTGATCTCTCAGAACTCCCGTTGCGATTCTGATGGAGACATGAATTACGTTCTCTCAGATAATGCCTTTTGTGCTTTGCAGGACAAGTCAGTGTCAATTGCTTTGAGACGTCAGATACTTTGATTCACCAGATGGTTTGCATGACAGCATTGGCGCATTTGATACTTCAGACAAGCCTCGGGCCCTTGAAGCCGAATGGACTGTGAAGATCGTCACTGTTACCAATGTCTGCACGAACTATGCAGATTCCGACATCCTGTCATCCGAAGGCGACGAGGAACCAGACTTGGACACCTGCGAGTAATAGTGTTATGACAATTCTGTACCTGACTGTACCTGACGCATTTTACTGTCTCTTCGACCTGGATTAGCAGAGAGCAAGTATGTAACATAGAGTGCCTTCATCATGGAGAGTTCATGGAGTTTGCAACGATGACACACTGCTCGGAGATCCTTACGAAGCGTCGAGTTCGAATGATACGAATCTTAGGAATGGAAACAGATTACGTCTTCTCTTCTCTTAGTCTGAAGAGCAATGTATGAATGTGTATATGAGTAGTACTGTTATTCCGATTCACAACATCCTCTACTGCACGACGAACTGTACAAGTCTACCCAGCAGCCATGTTTTCGTAAGTAGATGTATACACACAAGTGCACGACCATCTCATGCAAGCTCCTCGACAGTATTGGCATACGAAGACGTAGCAGCTATCGACCGCTCATAGCGGCGCCGGACCTCGTGCAATCCAAATGACATCGCCGCAATTATCAACACCCGCGACAAATCTGTCCAACCTAATGCTTCTGTCTGGAAGATGGTTTGCATGAAGGATACGTAGATGAGTGTCAACTGCACGAGGAAAGATACCGACACCGTCACGACCAGCATGCGATTTTGGAACAGACCGCAGCTCAGCCCACGATTTTGCACAGCAGACACGAGATCTAGCAGCACGAAGCAAGTGAATGTCTGCGCAAATGCCTCACTTCAGCTGTGGTCACTATGAAAAACACCGCTTCGTACCATTGTTTGTTCTCGTCTCGACATGTCGTTGTCAGACACGGCGAAGAGATAGATGGACAGCGTTCCGATGACGATCATGCACGCGGAGAATAGTATACGGTACATAAGCTGTTTGCTGACGATTGGCTCGTCTTTCTTTCTCGGCGGTCTTCGCATGACTTGAGGGTCCACGGGATCGACTCCCAATGACTGACTCGGTGGCCCTAGAAACCATAAGTTGTTCACTATTTCCCTAGTACAGTACAGCAAGACACAACCTACCATCCATGAGAATGTTTATCCAGAGAATCTGCATAGCATTCAACGGATTGCTCAAACCGAACATCGTACTGATAGTGATCAATGATATTGCAGCGACAGCTGTGCTGAGCTGGAACGAGAGGAAGTTCTGGATGTTGTGGAAGATGGATTTTCCTTCAAAGGGATGAGCTATTTGTTGTCTCAGACATGTGTACCACAGGGATACTTACCTTCTTCCATCGCCGGCAAGATCGTGCTGAAATTGTCATCTACAAGAATCATGTCCGCAGCTTCCTTGGCCACATCTGTCCCGCTTTTGCCCATAGACACGCCGATATCCGCCATTTTCAGGGCTGGTGCATCATTGACTAGAAACGTGCAAAGTCAACTGCCAAATTCTCAGCTAATGCATGCGGAATATCATCACATACCACCATCACCGGTCATGGCCACGACAGCCCCACGGGCCTGGAATGCCTCCACAATCGCCATTTTATGCTTCGGAGTCGTCCTTGCAAACACGCTCACTCCACCCACGGCTTCCATGAGCTGTGTCTTCGACATGCGATCGATGGCCTGGCCGGTCAGACATGCGACAGCGTTTCTCGCATCCACCCGCAAGCCGAGCGCCCTAGCGATTGAAAGCGCCGTCTCCTCCGCATCGCCGGTGATCATCACCACCTGCACACCACCGGTCTGCAGCAGTGCGATCGCGTCCGCGACTCCCTTCCGCGGCGGATCGAGCATGGCCTGGAAGCCGACGAAAACCAGATTGTTCCTCGCACGATCCTTCTGGACTGTGTTCAATAAAGGCTGAGGCGTAGACGAGCGCGTAGTAGGGTTAGAGGCCATTGCCTCTGCGGATCCATAACCATATGCGATTGCGATAACACGCATTCCACGGGACGCGGTGGACTGGGCCCTCGTCAAGATGACGTTCTTTGTGTTGGCATCCAGCGCAGGGGTAGATTCGTCTGAGACGTAGTAAAACTTACATCGATCGAGAACGGCGTCGATAGATCCCTTGATGTAGTACACCTCTTGACTCACTTCCTTGCCAATAGAGCCGTTGACAACGGGCGTCGACGAGGAGCCATGTACGCCGCTTATAGCCATGTATTTGTGCTCTGAGCCGAATGATACCTCAGAACGGCGCGTGAATTCCTGTTGTGCCTTTATGAGGAGATGTGAGGGTAAATAATTAAGAAGACGGACCTGTCGGGAATCAGGAATTCCGAATACGGAAAGTACATTCAACAACGCGACATCAGTGGAATGCCCGATGTACGACCCATCCTCTTTCTTGCTGGCATTGTTGCAGAGAGCCCCGATAGTAAGTGTTCTCCTGATGGCACTAGATATCTGATGAGGAGGAGGGACCGGACCGGCCATATTGCTGTGAACAACTTCGTCAACAGAGTAGATCTCCATCACTGTTTGCTCGTTCTTCGTCAAAGTTCCTAAACAAATAATCAACCTCAACGTTTTGTTCTACCGGAAGGTGGCAGAGGCCACTCACCCGTCTTGTCTGAACAGATCACCGACACCGAGCCGAGCGCCTCCACCGAATGCAGCTTCTTCACGATCGCTTTTCGGCGTGCCATACGCAGAACGCCCAACGCGAGCGTCACCATGGTCACGATCGGCAGACCTTCCGGGATGGCCGCGACAGCAAGGGATACTGTACTTCTGTAGCATCAGCAATCCGAGCTGCGAGAAGAATGCAAATAGCATGCGGTACGAACCTCCGATGGTGAACATGTCCAGCCATGAACGGTGCTGCAGCACGCCGATCACACAGATGATGCCGATGATCGCGAACGATGCAATGGACAGTTTCTTGGCAAGCTCGTCCATGCGAAGCTGGAGCGGCGTGCGCTTCTCTTCCACCTACGCGCGGTGTGAAAATGAGCTTATCAGACGCGAACTAGAGGTAGGCGTACGTCCTGGACCATTGAGAAGATCACGCCGAATTCTGTCTGAGTACCGGTGGCGATCACTACGCCAGAGCCCCTGCCTGCGCACCCATGTTTCATGAACTTTCAACATCTCGAGCGGTCCTTTACACTCACCGCTCCGCACGAGAGTGCCCATGAACGCGACACACGTCCGGTCCGCAACGGGCACCGGCTCATGCACGCCACTGCCGTTCGCAAACGCCGACGCCTCAGATTTGCACGGCTCGACGTCTTTCCGCCTCGCAGCCGTCTCTCCCGTCAAGCTGCTCTCGTCGATCTCAAGATCGACCGCGGTGATAAGACGCACGTCCGCCGGGATGCGGTCGCCTGTCGTAAACGAGACGATATCACCGGGCACGAGTTCGTTCGCAAGCAGGTGCAGGGACTGGCCATCTCTGCAGTGGATGAGCGACGGTAGGGGGATGCAGAACAGCAGGCAGACTCACCGTGTCAGATGGCAATGATGCGGAACGAGCTTGTTCAATGCCAGAAGGCTCTGTTCCGACCGCCGTTCTTGCACGAAGCCGACCGTGAGGACAATGAGGACCGCGACAGTGATGCTCACCGCGTCGTCGACGTTGCCCATGATCGCGCTCACCACCGCGCTCCCGCACAAGAGCAGCGTGAGCGGGTTGTCGAACACCGTCTTGATAAACTTGGTGAGCAGCGGCTCCGGCGCATCCACAGAGAATTCATTGTAGCCGTGCCGCTCTAGCAGGCTCGATATGATCGCTGACGGAAGCCCGGTCGACGGGGAAACGCCGAAGTGCGCAAGGGTGTCCTGGATGCCGTCTGCATACATGCCGACGACGAGAACATCTGTCACTCACCTCGACCGTGTAATACGCGAATGTTGCAGAGGGAGTCTGGGGTGGTGGCTCCTTATCTGTCATCGGAACCTTATTGTACCCTTCCTGCTTGCGTGGAAACCATGTTCTGAACGCGCCAACGCTGCGTTGCCAGAGCCCCGACGGGCCTCCCACTTCGGCGACAGCAGCACGTATCTCGTCCAGCTTGGAGACGGCACCTGCCGAGGCGGGCAGAGGCAGGCCGAGCCGACCCTCATCGCGATGCCTACGCAAGGTTGTGCTGTAGGCGAAGTGCGATGCAGCATCCGCGCTCGCGGGCAATGGATCTTCATGGTGTCCGCCTGAGAATGGTGTGAAGTACGTCGACGCGGGAGGACTTGCAGTGCGCTGAGGCGGATATGCGGATGCTCGTGCGCTGACAGCATGGCGGGAGGGTGCAGAGGCACTGGTAGTGGCGGAAGGAATGTTGATGGCTTCGTGCGACTGAGAGCGTTTGATCATTATTCGCATATGAAGTCCGGCTCCGATTCTGATGGTGAATTACTATGGTCGTGTCTATCAAAACCAAGATGCTGCTTGATCACCAACTATCAGCTTGCAGACAACGCAGCCGGCCAAGAACAGTAGCTCGAATGAAACCTACGCGGAGAAACGACTCACTCGTCGCCAGTCGACCTCCAGACAGCTCTCCAGTTCCTCGACGATGGATAACAATGGTTTAGCTCTCGAGAGCAGTCTGTCGTTGACAATTCTGAAAACCGTCCCATGAGCACATTTTTGCATGCGAACACGTAGTCAACCAGATTGAGCGACTCACTCAGATTCCTATGCAGGGGCAAGATAAGCCTCCAAGATCATATACGTTGAAACGCTCAACGTCAACTTTGGCCTCCCCCGAATGGAATCTTATCTGGTTCCCCGCCTTTTTGACAGGCTGTCTATACAATTCTATCAAGCTCACACGCGAGCTTGGCCACAGCACTCAGAGCGCTCACCTGGTGCAGCGAACGACGTCCAATTGTAACGAAATTGCAGCTGGTTGCTACGAGGCCCGTAATAGTCGATAATTATTGGCAGAGAGGTATAAACATGAGTGAGATTGCGATTTGTGAGGCGACATGTTCGTTAGGATGCAGTGGCTGTGTACTTTCCGTTGCGGCGCCAAGACCAAACACACGTGGCCGACTAGCCTAAGTGCTCAATCCTAATTACACAGGTTCAATTCTGATTTCTGGAGTACAAATTAAGCTGGCATTGCAGTGTGGGCTCTCTCTTTGGCTGGTACTACCGCAAGTGGTGCTGGAAAATGGACCATATAGTGCCTTCATGTAGTACCGCCGCCGGGCCGCAAAGCTGGTATATGTTCGCATGCGCTTCCTGTTTGCTGACATGCTCTCTCACCGCCATGTGCTCAATACTATTAGCTGAGGTCAACTTCGCAATGTTTGTATGTCTATGGGCTTACACAGCTAGAGAAACCACTGTCATCCAGGTCGTTTACCAGTGATAGACTTGGTAAGCTAGTAGTTCACGGTTGCTTCTTCCATTGCGAGCAATTACGTACTCGAGGCGCATCGTGTGAGTCTGTCTCACAGTTGCTTTCATTCCGCTGACGATACTTATAGGAGTAGATCATCATTGCATAAAAAAGCATAGCGAAGACGCTACTTGCTCCCGTTTATAAACTCTGTTTTATCTCATGAACATTGTCACAGGGTCCGACCATCGTCTCACATTATATGAATAAGCCAAAGCAATTACAGAGATAGCTCGACGCCTTTCGGTCGCTGCTTTTAACGTGTAAATTAGCCGGAGAGGAGTCTTTCATGAGCGTCCTATCTGCTCCAGGCAGAAGAAAGGATAGCTCCGAGCGTTCTCGCTGCTACGGTACAGCCCCTGATTGAAGTCTTGAAGTGAATGCTCTGGTGAGCCTCATTAGTAGGAAGCGACTCCAAACCGTTCCAGTTGCTGCCAACGAGCTTAGCCTCGTGCATCCATGGGTTTGCAGACATCAACCCGTACAGCGTATCATCCCTGAAGCTACGAGCAATGACGCGTTCGGATCAGCAGCGCGGCTGTGTTAACATTGGCTGATGATCTACTCCAGAGAAAGGAAAGGCCCAGTCACAACAAGGGCACCTCTACCGCACGCGTGTAGAGGTGTGGCGATTTTGGCCCATGGCAGGAGCGAGCCTGCTCCTCCAGATCTGATTATCGCATTGCTGCGACGATACACGCTCATAAAATTCAGTAGGTCGTCCAATGGGAAAGTGCGATCGGCTGCTCACTTATGACCACAAGGTCATCGTTTACCTTCTATTTAGGTTGCATCATCAGACATTCTGCAATTTCACGACAAGGACAATATAAGCGGGCGCCGTATTAGGATCAAAGATCGCATTCACATCCACAGGAAAGGGGTCGGGACCTCCAATTTCACGGATGCAATCTCCTTCAGCCCTTGCCTCCGTCGACCATCTCGAAGACCTTCGCTCTGCCTCCATCCACACCAACAGCAAATGATATTCCACTGTAAAAGATGGCTCAATGTCTGAGGTGAAGTGTACCATCTGTCACATATACAGCCGGATCTCATTGATTTTCATGGCTTCTATCATCGCTCATAAGGTTCTTCCAGACATCGCCGATAATCATCGTGAGCTACCGGTACACTATTCAGTTGCATCCGTGATATGAACAAATGAAGAAGAATCGCTATATCCGGACTTATTCCTTACACACAAAGAGACGTTGGACGTGCTATTTTACACTCTTGGAACCCCATCTACAGCAATCCTCATCGGTATACCTCAAGGATACAGCGGCTCTAGTATCAGCTCGCCTTCCGGAGGAACCGAAGTGACATTGAGCGGATCGATGACCGTGAATGCGTCTCCTTCAAGACGTGGAGTTGCTCTGCAAACCATTGACCAAACTATCATCTTGATTTCTGTGACGTCCCACAATAAGACACCGAAAGTTTGCATTGAAATATGCCTACCTGTGACGGCGAGGTATCTTCCAGGGCAAGCCCATCTTCCTAATCCGAACGGGAAATAAATTGAACTTCCCATGACAGCAGATTTCGCTTCGGATTCCTCCCACCGTTGCGGGCGGAATATTGATGCGTCAGGCCCATGGTACTTGGTATTCTCGTGAGAAAGAGTGGTGAACGGTAATACTAGACTGCCTGTGAATAGAATGGCAGTGAGCATCGTAAGAAAATGGAGTAGATGCACTCCTACCCTTCGGTATCTTAAAACCGGCGAGAGGTACATCCTCAGTTGTGCATCGGCAAACCCTGAGCGTATCGCCTTTCGTCCGCAGAACCTCCCGAATAAATGAGTCCAAATGCATTGCTTTCTTGAGCGTGTTGTATGCATCCGATATATCAAGGTCATGGGTCAACGGGTCAATGTGATCGTGCATCTCCTCTTGTAGGCTTGCTAGGTGCTCCTTATGGATGGCGAGCTGGAACATGACCCACACCGCCACAGAAGCACTTTCAAATGGTGTTTGCTAACGTGCCATACATATATATTAGAGATGAACTGACGTTTGGTGCACTGACGCGAAAAATATCCTTTATCGTGAGCTGTGATTTTGGTGCTTAGATGTATCTGGACATAAAAGCTCTTCACTAATAAAATTGACATGATTCGAATAGTGGAGAAGACACTGACAGAACCGGTACCAGGATCGGCGTGCTTCATTGCCAGATAGGACAAAAGTGTAGGCTTACAATTGGATCAGTCAGTCGATGGCGTCAGCAGTGGCAGCAACCTACCTTGAGATGTAGACTATCACCCATCAGTACGGCATCCTTATTCCACCTTCTGGCGCGTAGCTGATTCCAAATTACTGGACCCAGGATGCGCACAAAAACACCTATGATAGACGTGACAACGATGCGAAACCTAACGTCCCATTGTGAATGGCTCGGAACAATCGATATGATAATGTTAGAACATACCATGTGCAAATACGCCAAACGGAAGGAAAGGTCCTAGCGAACGGAGAAGTATTCTGATAAATACCGACCACAGTTGCGATGTCCGCTGCAATCGTCAGTGACAGTTTCTACGTGCTTCTCTTCCACCAGTTCCTGATGCCATATCAGATGAGAACAAGGAGATTGAGATGCGCCGTGTACTACCTCTCCCAAGGCCACTATAATCATGGCCTCCGCAATACTGGAATGAGCATAATGGAACATATCCACGGACGTTCCTGAAGCATGGTCCACTAGTTGAATTGCCTTGCGAATGAAAACGGGAAATACTATGTATAAGGTGAGCTTCATATTGTATCTGGACGATAGTTCAAACATAATCACTCCGTTCTGCTATATTCTCGAGTTGATTGTTGATAGCGTTTTGTACAAGATCGTCGACTTCTGAGTAGAACCAAGGGAAAAAAGTGAGGACATAATGCATGTTGAGAATCTAGAACAGACATTCCGCTCAAATGACATTCATAGTAACAATATAGAAAAGACGTACACTTGCTGTTCCTTGCACGAAACTAAATTGGGAGTCGGCAGTGAGGACCGCCGAAGTCAAGGTATCGTCAACAATATACTCCATCTGAGAACGGCGTTGTGAGCGCATGCACCATTGGCAAATGCAGTGACTCACTCGACCTTTGCGCTGCACGCGAATGATAGGCCCGTATGCGTCTAGAGCCTTTTCATACGCTTCTTTCGGCTTGGTAAACATATCCGACGCCTATTTGCATTCAGTCAATTGCGCACAGAATGGAACAGACACTTGACATACAGGCATACTGAAAAGTGGCGGAAGGCGTTCGGGCGAAACCCTGGCCTGTTTCCAAAGTCGTTGAATAAGCTTCCACGAATGCGGATGACTCACCCTCCGACCGCGCAATGCAGTCACTGCTCTCCAAATGAGAAGCCCCATGATAGGAGCGACAAGCAGCATGGCGGACATGACACGCAAACGGTCTTGGAGACTCTGTGCACCGTTGTGCAAGTATCACGCTGATATTTATACGCTTTCAGGCCTGTGCATGTTACGCACCGGAACAACTCAACATATGGTATACAGGCCCACGTCAAGCAAGCTTTCTTCTTCCAAGTCGGTCCTAACCGACTACACCATTCATCAGGAAAACTTAAATATTGCTTTTGAGCCCCCTTTAGCGCTTTTTTGGTCCAAAAAAGGTATTAAGCCCGAAAAGCATGGGAATCTTCTGGTTCTGCGCTTATTTTATCCTTTTTCATGGAAAAGTCACACAGAAAGCGCCGGAAAGATCACGAGAAATTCTGTTTAGAGACATTAAGCCGGAAAGCCGAGCTTCGGCTGATTGAGATGCTCACCATCCTTTCTATGGTGGGTGCCGCCGGACAATATGGTTGAGAAATTATCTATACAGAAATTTCTTATAATGAGTTCGAAAATTTCTTTTGAGCCGCAGAAATTGCCACGTGGTTTCCAGAACTTTTGCCACGTGGCTAAGAAAGGGCATGCGAGCGCTTGATCATCCCGTAGGCGCAGTTCCTGCACGTGCCATTAGCTCCTGCATGGACTGTGGTATTCCCCTCAGGCTCGTCGTTGTCACTGTCACTGTCATCACCACCGTCGCAGCCATCGCCATCACGAGCGCTCGTTCAATATTCAATCATGGTCACTGTCACAGATTTTTGCCACAAAGTCCACACGTGACTTTTCTCATGCCACAGATCACGTGCTTCACCAATATCTCATGCCACTCAGCCACAGACGCGATGCATAGAAATCAGGTAATAGTCCACATCACATGTTATGGTCCAGACCCGTGGATGATACGGTCGGACCTGTCTATTCCAGGATACAATAGAGGCACCCATTTGGGAACAAAGGGAACAAGGACTATTATTATGCATCTGCCTTCCGCTTCCTATTAGTTTAGCCAGAAGCCTAGATAGGCATGATGTTCACACCGGAGAACAAAAGGGAAAACCAAGATAGGCACAATGTGCACACGCATTACTGCGGCAACCATCGATCTTCCCACTTATTGTTCTACTTCCGAACATCCTATTGTTTCATGTACAGCCATTAGCTTATACCCGTAGATAGGTAGCTTAGATAAGATAGCCCGCTGTACGTGTATATAAGACCAGCCATATAGAGGACGAAACTTCAGATTGTTTCTCCTCGTCTACTACTGTAGCACCCTACTGAGCTTACCAGCTCCATCATATATCTCTCACCCTTTCCTGCATCAGCCACCTCGACTAGTAAGTCTCAGGCTCTTGCACCACATAGGGTTCAGGGGGATTCCTTGGGATCAGGGGGATCAGGGCAGCATGTTCCACATGACTGTCCCTTTTTAGTCTTTTTGATCTCTTGTCCGGTGTTGCCGTGACTTTAGAAACAATCTGACATTTTCTGCGCCCTGCTTAGTGTTGAACACAAGCGGCCACGTATTTTCAGCGCAAGCAGTTTCAGCTGTAGCGCGCGGCTTTTTTGACATACATTCCAACCCAACTTCTACCAGGCATGAGCCTCAGCAAGACATTGAGCAGCCCAAGGCAGCAAAGCGCAAGGCCACCAAGGCAGAAGATCCTTACGCCGGCTACAAATGCCTCGAGGCCAACAAGGAGTGAGGAAGACTTCTCACTCTAGCATCTTTAGGCGCATCCTCTACAGACAGGCAGTGTGCAGCGGCCAGGGTAGTTGACACTACACATATCAGAGTCCAAGGCATCATCTGCCGACCTCGCAGTCACACCTCCCCCACTCGAATGCTACAAGCCCAGAAAAGGATGCCTCACTACAGGTGGTTGAAGGCCAAGACCACCCCCAGAGTTCATCACCTCCAATGTCGTTCCCCCCATCATTGTTGCTCCACAGCCAGTGCGACCCCTTCCCAACTTTGTTAAAGTCAACACACATGCACGACCTATTCGCCCTCTTCCGTCCAAAGTCAGGCCCACCCTCCACATTGAAACACTCAAGAAGCAGGTCTCAGCTACCCGCTTCAGACTACAACTGATATTAGGAGCGTTCTGCGGGAGAATTGATCAGGACAAATGAAAGAAGGTACAACTCCTCGCATCAGAGTTAGACAAAGTCTGCGCAGACCTCTACACGGGAACTCGTGAATACACCTTCATCGACAAACAGGTCATCAACACGTGCTGCCTAGAAATAGGCAGGATCAACTTCAAGGAGATAGGAAAGCAGCAGAGGTTGGACGAGATCGTCAGGGAGATTGGGAAAGTCAAGGACAAGCAGTACCTAGGCTTTATTTTCTATTAGTTTACCTACATCTACAGTGAGCCACAAAACTGTTGCAATGTTTGCAACAGTTGCATTGTTTGGCTTATATCTCAGGAATTAAAATCGCTAAATATGCAAATATATATATCATTAGAAAGCCTATGATATGAACTTTCAAATGGCACCTGAATGAAGTAACTTGGTCTACTGGTTGGTGAGATACAAAATATTCTTTACAAAAGATGCATTGCAACAGTTTTGTGGCTGACAGTTTTAGATATAAAAGTTTCCAACTTCAGTACTTTGTGTAGCCTCCCTTTGCCCTCAACACAGCTCTGACCCTGTCTGGCATACTGTCAATTAAGTTCTGACAGACAGAAGCCTCAATACCATTCCATTCCTTCTGTACCCTGTCCCAAAGGTCTGCAATTCCTCCAGGTGCATTTTCAAATGCTGCCAGCCTTCTTTTGAGATGGTGCCAGAGGTGTTCTATGGGGTTGAGGTCTGGATACTGTGCAGGCCATACCATAGTCTCAAACCCATGCTCCTCTAGCCACTTCCTGGCTTTCTTGCTGGTGTGCTTGGGGTCATTGTCTTGCTGAAATACCACATCCTCCACAGTTTTACCCTATTCCTCTATGCTATTCTGAAGTTCATCCTCCAGAATAGAAACATAAAGGTCAGCATCCATCTTGCCATCGATCTTGCAGGCATATCCAATCCCTTCCCAGCCCATACACCCCCACATCATGAGGCTTCCTCCTCCAAACTTGAGTGTCCCTTCCACCAGCCTATCACTGAGTCCCTCCCCTGGCTTCTTCCATGCCCATTTCCTCTCATCTGACCCTAACCTGTTGATTTTGGTCTCATCTGACCATATAACCCTCCTCCAGTCCTCCACAGTCCAGTGCTGATGGCTAACAGCAAAGTCCAGTCTTTCTCTCTTATGACGCTTAGAGAGAAGGGGACGTTTATGCTTTACCACAGCCTTCTAACCAGTGCTTTTGAGCTTTCTACACATAGTCTCCACATGAAAGGGCTGGTTGACAACATCTTAGAGAAGTTTGGTGACTTCAACAGCAGTATCTGCCTGTTCAGTGGTAAGAAGGCGAGTAGCATGGCGAATGATTCCAGGATTAAGCTTGCTAGGACAACCTCCGCCAGATGTAGGCATGTTAGGATGATGCTCAGAGCAAATTCTGGACACAGTGGAGTAATGGACTGTAGTCAGATGAGCAATCTGTCTAACAGAATGGCCTTGATCAAGCAGGGAGAGAATGTGGGCAGTCTGAGTAGCGGAAACCTTCTTCATGATGGTTGTGTTGAAGTTGAACAGTCTGTTTGGTGTTGATCAACTCATGTTGAAGTTCAACAAAGATCACATGATCAAACTTTAAACCTTAAAGCAAACAAACTTCTGCAAGGAGGTATTTTTGTTTTCAGAGTTGTCAGCCACAAAACTGTTGCAATGCACTTTTTATAAAGAATGTCTGATATCTCGCCAACCAGTAGGCCAAGTTACTTCATCCAGGTGCCATTTGAAAGCTCACATCATAGGCTTTCTAATGGTATATACATTTGCATATTTAACTATTTTGGTTCCTGAGATATAAGCCAAACAATGCAACTGTTGCAAACATTGCAACAGTTTTGTGGCTCACTGTATATCACAATGGAAGGAGCCGATCGTGCGTACGCATCCACATTCAGGCAAAGAATGGATGACATTCTGCATACAAACGTCAAGACAGCACACGATGGAAGCACCCCACGTGCCTCGCAGCACAATTCACCAGAACCTGCGCTAGGACCACAGGATTCTGCATCGCAAGTTGGAGGACCTGCGTCCCCAACACCATCACTCTTACCCGCCTATGTTCCCCCCATCTGGGAGTTCGATGGACACCAGTTTGAGCATCTAGAAGATGCGCTCAGACAGTCCACTCCCGGAGAAGTCCCAGACCACATCCGCGAATGGGTCATTGTCACAATGAAGCTCACGGTCAGTACCGAAGTCGCCAAAGTCTACAATGTGCTCGGAAACAAGATGTACGAGCACAAGAAAGCCTTCGAATCATTGATCCAAAACAACAAGAGCAAACACCGACTCAAGGAGGCAGTTCTCCAGATGGAGATCGGGAAGCTCAAGGATAGGATCCTCGCACAAGATGCGCATATGACGGTTTTAAATGATGAGCTCACAGGAACCCAGGCAGCCATGCTCGATGCTGGCAAAGAAATGATGGAAATCAAGTCCGCAAACACTAAGCTGCGGCATGAGCTAGCTTCACTCAAAGCAAGCGGCATCACTATGATGCAAGGCCAAACATCTGGTACAGTCCAATCGCACAAACCACACATCAAAATTGCTGAGCCTCCACACTACTCGGGCAAAGGAAGTCTGGAGGACTGGCTCCAACAACTCGGTATATGGATGCGGTGGAATGAGATCAGCGATGACGAACACAAGATTACCATGGCCCTGCTGCATTTGG